ATTTTAAGACTGGATTTATTTTTTAAATAGCAATTTTCTACATTTAGTGACATTATGGTCTGATAAAGATTACATTTATATAAATATTTAAGCCAGAATGATTTGACATTTAAATATGATTTCCCTACGACTTTAAGTATATGTTCTCCATCCATCTTCTCCCACTTATTCTGTCAGGGTGTCTATCTCCGGCAGTCTATGGGAGAACGGTGGGGTCAACCCTGGACAGGTCTCCAGTCTATCTCAGGACAACACAGAGACAAAAAGGACAAACAACCATTCACACACACCTAAGAACAATTTAGAAAAACCAAGTAACGCACCAGTCATGTTTTTGGACTGTGGGGGGAAGCCGGAGTACCCAGAGAGAACCCACGCATGCTCGGGGAGAACATGCACTCTTCATGCAGAAAGACACCGGGCCGGGAATCAAACCCAGAAACTTCTTGCTGCAAGGCAGCAGAGCAGCTCTAAATATTCTCCATTTTCAGTTGTTCAAAGGTCAGGGAGGCACTACTGCTCTGACAGTATCTCTGGGTATCAGAAAATAGTTAAAAGCTCAGAAAGTTCCTTTAACATTTAGATCAATTCAGTTTGTTTCTCTAGTCTAGGTTTACAGCATATGAAATGTAAACAGACTTTAACAGAGACAATTCGAATTCAATCATCCAGTCAGATTGATTCAAAGCTTCTATGTTGGAGAACCAGCTGGACTTTGCAGGGTTCATCCTCCTGGATAAATCCCGAATCTAAGAGTGGATATTTGCCTGCATTGTGTGGTTGACTCTACAGCAATCCCTCACACACAGCAGCAACAGCAGAGATTTATACATAAAATTTAAGTTTGACATCTTCATTAGGCATTTTCAAAGAAAATAGGGTAAAAATGAGAGTAAACATTTATTTTGTGGTTAATCTTTTACGTTGGCCGCCCATAGCGACAGAGAGAGAGAGAGCCCCCCCGCTGTGAGAGGCTGCAAACACAAATTTTATTAATCTAAACTAACCAGGATCTGTGTTGTGTTTTCACCGTGTAACCAGGCTAGATCAGTCTCACTGGAAACACAACCAGAGGGAACCGGACTGAGCTGTAACAGCCAGATAAAACCGAATTGGGCTGTAAGAGCCAGATAGAACTGAACTGAGGTGTAACAGTCAGATAGAACCGTGCTGGGCTGTAACAGATAGAACCAAACTGGGCTGTAACAGATAGAACCAAACTGGGC